CAGATGCTGCCTGGCCTGCTGTGTTCTTCCAGCTTCCTGTTTGTCTAGTACAGCTGGTATTTGTTTTGCCTCAAAGGATGTTTCCCTTAGTGGGAGAGACTAGAATGAGGGAACATTGTTTAAATATAAGGTGGGGATGGGGAAAAGTTTTTTTTTCCCTCAGAATCATTAGTCTGAGGAATTCTCTTCTCTGGAGAGCAGTGGATGCTGAGATAATTAATATTTTTAGGGCTGAGTTCGATATATTCTTGTCATGAAGAGTCTCTGGGCTCAAAACATTAACTCAGTTTTCTCTCCTCAGGTGCTGCCAGACCTGCTGAGTTTTGCCAGCAATTTCTGGTTTTGTTTCGGATCTCCAGCATCTGCAGTTCTTTTAATTTTATTTTAGACAACTTCTTGATTGACAAAGTACAAGTCACAATCTGATCAGTCATAATTTTGTCAAATGTCAGAGCAGGGTCAAGGGGCCAAATAGCCTACGCCTGCTTTTAATTTATATATCCCACTGTTCTAGAATTGAGCTGGATTGAGCAGATTTTCCAGAATGGTCTTGAGCAGCACACAGAATTCTTCTTTTCAGTCAGGCTGCTTTGTAGCTGAAATGTTGATCTTCTGTCTCTTAAACTTTTGGTTCTTCCAGTTCCATGGAGCTAGATGGATGTTTATCACTGCTCAATGTGTCCTGCAGGAATCAGTCTCCCTCATGGATTGAGTGATACAGACATCATATAGATATTTGACCTGAATAATTGCGTAATCCAGGAGGTGCCAGTCCTTTGATCTAGGATACCTCCGCGTCACTTTGTCTTTGCCCTTCTGTTAGAAAATGGTGCCTGTCTTAATGAGACTATTCTGGGCACTTATTCTGCAGGAGGATGCCATCTGCACTGACTATACCCATGCCATTTTCCCCTAAATGTTCCACTCAGACATTGACATCATGGCCAACCTGGGCAGAAGTCACCCAGAAGGACGATCTTTTCTTTCTTTAGTATTACAATAGACTTCGCCGAGGTCAGAACAAAACTTTCCTTAACACTTTCATTAAAGGCTGTGTCCTCAGAGTTGATGATGACAGGGTATCGTTTACAATTGATCTGTGGGTCAAGTGTCATGAGTCTTTCATTTATGCAATTAATGAATCTAGAAATGCATCCAAGATGCTGTTCTGGTTGTCAAAATCAACACAGTGGGCACAAGGGCCAATTTTAATCTTTCCTTCCCATACAAAGTGCATCTCCCAGATTGTTCCCACTGTTGCCCTTCCTTGGGAAAGAAGGCCTTACAGGGTGAATTGATGTCAGCTTAGAGTTTTGATAGCTTATATGATATGATTGTAGTATTTATTTCTTTTAATGGTCAATCATGAGATTATCTACGAATGTTCTAACATTCCCAAACTGGAACATTTAAAGTTTTATTTTTTGACCGCAAATGTTGTGATCCTACAGAGTTCCTCTGTTAGCAGGAAGTGAGAAATAATATTTTAGCGCACCTTTTCTGGACCCCTCCCATCTGAGGCTCAATCACAGGTGCTGCTGCCCATATAAAGACACCTCTGTCCCAGTGTGGGTGAAAAATGACATGCACATATCTGTTGTCTGTGCAGATTCTTGACTAGGAACTCCAAGACTCAGAACTCTATCCCGTCAGTAATTCTACATCGCAACCAGTCTTGTCAAGCAGACTCTGGTAAAGGATGCGCATCACCATGTAACATAACACCTTGAAGCACCATCATTGTTTACACACCTTGAAGGGTTAGTGATCAGATTTTGGTGGCATTTTGAACCAAGAAGGATGTAGCCTTCTTCCACTTTTGCAGGAGGGGAAATACACAGTCGTATTTCATCTGTACTGCTTTTGAGGACTTTTGAACTGTACTTTGGCACTTTACACAGCCTTGCTCATATGGGTGGCCCCTCCAAGAGCTTCCAGTGGTACTGTATCATTCAAGGGGGAGTCAGAACATCACACCAAGGTGGCAATCCACAGAAAAGCTTCTGAAGTAAACAGAACTGTTAAACAAGCCGTTTACACTTTTAAAAAAAATGGGATGTGCGCATCACTGACTAGGCCAGGATTTATTGCCCATCCCTCATTGCCACTTAATCTGATTGATTTGCCAGGGGCATTTCAGAGGGAAGATAGGAATGAACTACATTGCTATGGGTTTGGAATCACATGTAGGTCAGAAAAGTTAAAGATGGCAAATTTCCTTCCCTGAAGGACATTGGTACGAAGAACAAAGAACAATACAGCACAGGCACAGGCCCTTTGGCCCTCCGAGCCTGCACTGACACATTTTGCCTTTCCGTACTAAAACTGTCTTCACTTACAGGATCCGTATTCCTCAATTCCCTTCCTATTCATGTATACATCCAAATGCTTCTTGAATGCTGCTATTGTGCCTGCACCCTTTCGGGGAACGCATTCCAGGCACTCACCATCCTTTGTGGGAAAAACTGGTCTTGCACATCTAGTTTAAACTTCTCCCCTTCACACCTTGAACCTGTGTCCCCTAGTAATTGACCCTTCCACCCTGGGAAAAAGCTTCATACTTTCCACAATGGGGTTTTACAACAAGCAGCACCTTGGGCACCATTGGGTTAGCTTTTAATTCCACATTTCATTGATCCAAATTTCACCATCTGCCATGGTGGGATTCATACCCACGTCCCTAGACCTTTAATCTGGGTCACTAGTCCAGTGATAATACCACCACACCACCATTTCCACTTAATTATAAAATTATTATCATATGTTATAATAAAATGCCAAAATATTAAAGTGTTGAAACTAAAATTCTGGATACACAGAGATCAGGCTGCATCAATAGCGTGTGGATAAATGTTTCAGAATCAATATCCTATCATCCAAACTTGATGCTTCAGATTTCCTTTTGAGTACTGTTCTAAGGGGGCACCATTGTCAGGAATAATAAACATTGCAAATTTGCTACCCATAGCCATCCCCATTAATACTGATACATCCTGGACTTTTTTTTTCAAAAAAAAGGTTATATCCTCCTAATCTTTACTCATAATAATTGCTGTTTATTTGTGCTGCCTGCTCAGAGTTTCATGAATCACATATAAACAAACGAAATGAAGTGTCTAAATCTACTTGGTTTCCTGATAAGGACTGGATAGCTGAATTTGTAAAACTTATTCTAAAATTCCCTCGTGCATTCTTTTAACAGGGTAGCACAGAAAGAAGAGGATGCCTTAATAAAGTCCTGTTTGTGAGTGCTTTGTGGGCTAAATGTATTGGTGAGTGAGGAGGAGTAGGGATGTTCTGTTGAAGATGTTTTATTTGAGCACCTCTGCCTTAGAAAGGCCATTCAAAATACTTTGCAAAAATCATTTTTCATTCAATATGTTAATCAGATAATCTTGCAGTTAACCTGGCAGAAAAGAAAAGTGATTAAATCTTATCTTGATAGCACACAAACCTCTCAATAACCATCAATATGATCATGTGAACATTTTCAGCTTAAGCATTCACTTCAATTGCTTGATAAATACAACTTGTATGCATGAGAAAGACAGACATGGTTCTTCCAAGCAAGAGATTGACAACCAGCTGCTCTACATGACTTTGGTGAAATAATATCTTCCAAAGACTCTTAATTGGTACCTGTCATAAATAGATATTCAAAATCTTGTTTAAGAATAGTAAGGGGCTTGAGAAAATAAAGAATAATAGTCCCTAAATTGTTGATGCATTTGTAAGAGAGAGAATCTATTAGAGAGGGGTGTGTGGTAGCACACCTATGACTGGTTTTAGGGATTGCCATTTTATAACAGAGCTGAGGAGATTTTTTGCCTCTTGAAGGGTTCTTTAACTTTGGATTTGAGTCTTTGTCTCAGGAGGTGGAGTTGTTAATTTTTTTTTAAAGCCAGAGGTAGATTGATTCCCTTGTTTAACTGGGCTCTGAAGGTATCAAATATATAAGGGAATGTTAAATTCAAAACACAAACAGACAGCCATGATCTTATTGAATGACTTCTGCTCCTATTTGGTATGTTCATTTGTTTATGTGTGTGTGAGTGCAGACTGTGTGTAAGTAAATGGCAGGCTGTTTTCATGTGAGAGAGCATGTGAATGGTGTTCCAGGTGTGCTGGTGGCAGATTGAGAGTCATTCGGTGACAGTGGTGTGACAATGGCAGGATAGTGTGCGCGAGGCAGTGTGAGTGGTGGCAGGTTTATGAGTGAAAAAGTGTGTTGATATCCGCATGTGAGAAGTGTACTGCATGGAGGTGTGAGATGGTGGTGGATAGTGAATGTGTATAGTGAATGAAAAAAATGGAGCATTGATGAAGACGGATACCAAGTGAGTAAATAAATGTGGAATTTGAGAGAGTGAATATGCTAGTGATGAGTCTGTAAAAGCGTGTAGACAGTGAACGAATGCATGAGCATGTGTGGACTATTTGAATGAATGTGGACTGAGAGTGTAAAATAAATTGGACAATATGTGGATAGTGAGTGGTTAAATATGGACAGTGAATGAGAGTGTGTTTGGATAGTGTGTGAATGATTTAGGATACTTCATAAGTGCGGGTTGTGAATGAATGTGGGTAAATTTGGGAAATGTGAGAGTGTGAATTAGAATGAATGCTTGCGGACAGATTGAAAGTGAAAGTAATTACCAAGTCCGAGACTGCGTGACGGCGACACTTGGCATCTATCCCAGGTCACTGATGACTCCAAAGTAAGTGTGAGGAAGGCGGGGAATGTTGGATCTCCCTTCCATCAGGAAGCGCGTTAGTCTGGGCTCTGTTATTCGTCATGATCGGGATTTCCTTCGTTCCCTGGTGACTCAGAATAAAATGACAAATGGTAAGTGGAAAGTACAGTGCGGGGGAGCTCTGGCAGCCATGTACTAGTTAATAACAAGAATTGACTGCTTTCTTATGCATGGGTTCCAGTAGTCCACACTGAAGGTGGGTCAGGGATAGAGACAGATTCGCTGCAAACAGCCGGCTGTCATATGGATCGGGAACTTAGCAATGACCGCCTGGAAAAGAGGAGGGAGGCCTTTCCCATTAACATGCGCTGCTCCGGTTCACTGCGGGGAAACTCTGGACCCGGCTTCCACGGCAATCTTTAAAGGAACCTGCTTGAAATTGGAGACCATGAGTCTTCATCCAGGGCGAATATCCCCAAATTCTGATTTAACTAAAGTTAAGCTTTGTCCCTCCTGAACTTTTCTCGTTCACGAGAGCAGGAGGAAAAAAAAGGTACATCCTGCACCTAAAGGACGAAGGTGATTAATGGGAGTAGTTCAGATAGAATGTGACACGTTTAATGTAGAAATTATAAACTTCACTATCATGGAGCCACTGAGTAAAATAATAGTCCCATTCATGGATCTGAAAGTAATGGTGTGGGGAGAGAAAGGCAGGCACTTTTTTGTTTAAAAGGTTTAGAAATAGACCTGGAACACACAAAAATTAGATTGTTTGGAAAATGTAATGAATATTTGGAGGAACCGTTTAACTTTACAGTTTGTGAACTGGGTTTTATATGTGAACTACACCAGCTAAAACAATGACATTACAATTGGCTAATTTGAAGATTGGTAATTCCCAAATGACTAAAACAATTGAAGTTGAAGAGATGCTGCTTGACTAATGGTTATTTCAGGTTGAAATTCCACATAAGTAAATCGTTTACAGTGCCTCTAAATTTGCAGACAGTTACTTTTTTAAAGACAAGAATCTTTTGAGTAGCTACAGGATAGAAGCTAAGGTTAGAATTTCCTCTTGGTTCGAAGGTACGTTTTTCAAGCAGCGAGTTGTGATAATCTAGTTTACATTCACTGATGTATGAATGCGTACAGGAAAGTGCATTTGAGGATTATTAGATTAGCCATGACCGCATTTAATGGTGAGTGGAACCCGATTAGCAGAATGGCCTTATATAGCTGAAAGAGGAAATGTTGATCAACGGGAAGAAGCAGGAACGTGGGACTAATAAGATAACCTTCAAACAACCAGCATAAACTCGATGGCTTCCTTTTCTGTTATATACGGTTTTACATCCATTTTATTCTATATTGAACCGACGAAATCCACAAACGCATTTATTGTACTCTGTAAAGCCTGGTGTAATTCTTGTATTAATATGTAAATAATTATGGAGCTAATTTTCAAGCTTTAAACTCCAAAAAAAAGTAGCCCGATATTGGAAATCTGGAATAAAAACAGAAGTTGCTGGAAAAGCTCAGCAGGTCCGGCAGCATCAGTGAAGAAAGAAATCCGAGTTAACGTTTCGGTTCCGGTGACCCTTCCTCACAACTGATGGTGGCTGGAAAAACGTCAGTTCATATGCAGAAAATAGGGAGGGGGTGGGGTAGGGAGTAAACGAAAAGATAAAGGATACAGCCCAAAGAGAGAGAAGTGCAGTTAGACAAAGGAGTTGATAACGATCTGGGCTGGAAGGGTGAATATTTGTTAATGGGGACTGTTAGTGACTAACAAATAGGTAGTGTGTAATGGCAGGCTGTGTGATAACAAGGCCTGGTGTGTGGGGTAGGGGACTAGGAAATGGGAGAGTTTAGGCCCTAAAATGATTGAACTCTATATTGAGATAACAAGGTGTAGAGCTGGATGAACACAGCAGGCCAAGCAGCATCATAGGAGCAGGAAGGCTGACGTTTCCGGCCGAGACTCTTCATCAGAAATGGGGGAGGGGAAGGGGGTTCTGAAATAAATAGGGAGAGAGGGGGAGGTGGATAGAAGATGGATAGAGGAGAAGATAGGTGGAGAGGAGACAGACAGGTCAAAGAGGCGGGGATAGAGCCAGTAAAGGTGAGTGTAGGTGGGGAGGTAGGGAGGGGATAGGTCAGTCCAGGGAGGATGGACAGGTCAAGGGGGCGGGATGAGGTTAGTAGGTAGGAGATGGGAGTGGGGCTTGAGGTGGGAGGAGGGGATAGGTAGGAGGAAGGACAGGTTAGGGAGGTGGGGATGAGCTGGGCTGGTTTTGGGATGCAGTAGGGAGAGGGGAGATTTTGAAGCTTGTGAATTCCACATTGTTACCATTGGGCTGCAGGGTTCCCAAGCGAAATATGAGGTGCTGTTCCTGCAACTTTCGGGTGGCATCGTTGTGGCACTGCAGGAGGCCCAGGATGGACATGTCATCTGAGGAATGGGAGGGGGAGTTGAAATGGTTCGCGACTGGGAGGTGCACTTGTTTATTGCGAACCGAGCATAGGTGTTCTGCAAAGCGGTCCCCAAGCCTCCGCTTGGTTTCCCCGACGTAGAGTAGGCCACAACAGGAACAGCGGATGCAGTATACCACATTAGCAGATGTGCAGGTGAACATCTGCTTGATGTGGAAAGTCTTCTTGGGGCCTGGGATGGGGGTGAGGGAGGAGGTGTTGGGGCAGGTTTGGCACTTCCTGCGGTTGCAGGGAAAAGTGCCAGGTGTGGTGGGGCTGGAGGGGAGTGTGGAGCGGACAAGGGAGTCACGGAGAGAGTGGTCCCTCCGGAAAGCAGATAAGGGTGGGGAGGGAAAGATGTCTTTGGTGGTGGGGTCGGATTGCAGATGGCGGAAGTGTCGGAGGATGATGCGTTGGATCCGGAGGTTGGTGGCGTGGTACGTGAGGACGAGGGGGATTCTTTTTTGGTTGTTATTGCGGGGAAGGGGTGTGAGGGATGAATTGCGGGAAATGCGGGAGACACGGTGGAGGGCGTTCTTGACCACTGAGGGAGGGAAGTTGCGGTCCTTGAAAAACGAGGACATCTGAGATGTACGGGAGTGGAATGCCTCATCCTGGGAGCAGATGCGGCGGAGGCGAAGGAATTGGGAATAGGGAATGGCATTTTTGCAGGAAGGTGAGTGGGAGGAGGTGTATTCTAGGTAGCTGTGGGAGTCAGTGGGCTTGAAATGGATATCGGTTTCTAGGTGGTTGCCCGAGATGGAGACAGAGAGGTCCAGAAAGGTGAGAGAGGTGTTAGAGATGGTCCAGGTGAACTTAAGGTTGGGGTGGAAGGTGTTAGTGAAGTGGATGAACTGTTCGAGCTCCTCGTGGGAGCACGAGACGGTGCCGATGCAGTCATCAATGTAACGGAGGAAGAGGTGGGGTTTAGGGCCGGTGTAGGTACGGAAGAGGGATTGTTCCACGTAACCTACAAAGAGGCAGGCATAACTTGGGCCCATGCGGGTACCCATGGCCACCCCCTTTGTCTGTAGGAAGTGGGAGGAATTGAACTCCCCCTCCCATTCCTCAGACGACATGTCCATCCTGAGCCTCCTGCAGTGCCACAACGATGCCACCCGAAGGTTGCAGGAACAGCAACTCATATTCCGCTTGGGAACCCTGCAGCCCAATGGTATCAATGTGGATTTCACAAGCTTCAAAATCTCCCCTCTCCCTACCGCATCCCAAAACCAGCCCAGCTCATCCCCACCTCCCTAACCTGTCCTTCCTCCCACCTATCCCCTCCTCCCACCTCAAGCCGCACCCCTATTTCCTACCTACTAACCTCATCCCACCCCCTTGACCTGTCCGTCCTCCCTGGCATGACCTATCTCCTCCCTACCTCCCCACCTACACTCACCTTTACTGGCTCTATCCCCGCCTCTTTGACCTGTCTGTTTCCTCTCCACCTATCTTCTCCTCTATCCATCTTCTATCCGCCTCCCCCTCTCTCCCTATTTATTTCAGAACCCCCTTCTCCTCCCCCATTTCTGATGAAGAGTCTAGTCCCAAAACGTCAGCCTTCTTGCTCCTATGATGCTGCTTGGCCTGCTGTGTTCATCCAGCTCTACACCTTGTTATCTCAGATTCTCCAACATCTGCAGTTCCTACTATCTACGAACTCTATATTGAGTCCGGAGGGCTGCAGAGTCCCCAGGCGGAAAATGAGGTGTTCTTCCAGCTTGTTTTGAGCTTCACTGGAACACTGCAGCAAGCCAGAGACAGAGATGTTGGCCAGGGAGCAGGGTGGTGTGTTAAAATGGCAGGCAACTGGACTCTCCAGGTTTTTTTTGTGAGCAGAACGGAGATGTTCTGTGAAGCCGTCACCCAGTCTACGCTTTGTTTTCCCCAACGTAGAGGAGACCATATGGTGAACAGTGAATGCAGTAGACTAGATTCTGGGAAGTGCAGGTGAAGTGTTGTTCTCTTTGGGCGCTATCCTTTATCCCATCGTTTACTCCCTACCCCATCCCTCTCCCTATTTTCTGCATATAAAACAATGTTTTCCTGGCTACCATCAGTTCTGAGGAAGAGTCACTGGACCCAAAATGTTTACTCTGATTTTTGTTTTTCTTCACAGATATTGCCAGAGCTGCTGAGGTTTTCCAGCAATTTCTGTTTTTGTTCCTGATTTACAGCATCCACAGTTCTTTTGGTTTTTATTGGAAATCTGAATGCTCGATTTTACAGTCATTCTATTAAAGCAGAATATTGCTCCTTATATAGAGTATTATTTGTTAAACTTTACAGTTTTTTCCAATGTGATAATTTGACAGTATGCCAAAACCGTGCAATCAATTTCTTCATCTTTGTCTGAAGGAATAAATTCTCAGAATTCTTTAGCACAACTAAAGAAATGAAGACCTACTGCATACTTGTTAAATAAGCTTGTTAATTCAGTTAGATTTCATAATTTGGATGAGTTATGCATTCTTGCTGATATCACAAGCCTGAGTTTGAATCTCCATTTAAGTACGACAAAATCATCTCTCCATTTAGGCTACACCATTTTTGTGCAGAATTTTACTTGCTCAGATTCAACTTAATTGTTATTAACTCTAAGCCCAAATTTTCCATCATCTGGTACACTTGTAATCAACTTCAGTGAAGTAATTGAGATAACTGATTAAAATTC